CCAAGGGGTTTCGAACAGCTGGCAAGAGTGCACGCTCAATGGTAAATTCTAAGCGTATTAACAATGGTCTTCGTAACAACGATGGGACCAAAAAAACAATGTGCCCAAAATTGTCTGAAATTCCTCTATCAGTACCCGCAAAAATTCATGACAGAAAAAAGGTCCCAGGTAATTTGCAAACTTCCCCTCTTGTGGAAGTCAATCATGCCACGAGCTAAGCCCTAAACCCTCAATCCAAAAAACCCCGAGCCCAAGGCCCTTAGCCCAAAGCCTAGGCCCCTTAACCCGAAACTATAAGCCCCAAGCCCACTGAAACCCTAGACCCTACACCCTGAGCCATGGGCATGTGCAGCGGCGACAGCATCCTGGGCTTGCCGAATGGCTGCCTGCGCCTTTGCAGAACAGTCTACCTCCTGCTTTAGGATGCAGCGCTTCAGATTCAGGATTTACGGTCTAGAATTGAGGGATATTAGTTTGTCACCCTGGATGTGATTGAAACGCGTTTTCCTACAACTGAACAGTGGCACTCACAACAGCTCAAGCCACTGATCAGGGGATGGGAAGGATGACAAAGATAGCAAGACTTGCTCTTCAGATTTTTTCAGTCGTGTGCATCAGGATTCTTCTACTGGCCGTGATACTACGACTTGATATGAGGGCTTCTCGACAAAGAGGGACTTTGCAGTACCCTGGGAAGGGATTACATGTGAAGTACGAAACATGCTTAATATGATACAGGTGACACAGACTTGTTGTGACATACACACGGTAGCTCTAACGCGCCTGAACTCCGGGACTCGCCGCTGTCCGCATCTGCGCACTTCTGCCTGCAGATCGGACGAGCAGAAAGGGGTTCAGGGGGCTCTCTGTTGACTATTCTTGCTTTTTTCTTACTTTGTTCCTATTATTACTACTCTTTAAAAATATTGAACTTGTTGATATTATTGCTTCTATTACTTTTAAAAATACGGTTATGCTTATTACTACTACCACTACTACCAGTATTGATACTGGTACTATTGTTACTGTTAGTCTGGATGCGGAAAGCGCTGCTGCCCTCTAGGAATATCGAGTAAGTCATTCTCACAGTCCTGAAGATGTAGATATTTCATGAGAGAGCCGCCAGTTACCGAACACCTGATCAGCCCTAAATAGTAGTTTCCATGTCCTTTTCCATTATCCCTATATCACCCCTATATAACCCCTAAATAACCCCTATAACCCTGACCCTAAATCAGAGGCCACAAAGCACAAAGCAGCTTCTCCAGGCCTGCCATCATCTGCGCAGCCTTGTAGGATGCAAGGCACACGTTTGAGTAGTGAATCGGATCATGAATGCCTCTACAAAGGAGGGCATCATCCCTCAATCCTGCATTCCTGCACAAGCCGAACTCAAAGCCCTATGCAATCACCCGATAAGCCAGCTTCACAAGTTTCTAAGCCCTAAACCCTAAACTATATGACTCCTAGAATGGCCCCCCTCCAATAATCCTGAGATAGCCTGCACAAACCCCAAGAGTCCATAACAGCATCCCCGTTTTCACAACATCAGCCACTAAATCTACCGGGTTTAGGGCTTAGGGTCTAGGGCAACCCTCAGCTCAAAACCTCATGTGAGCTATAGTCTAAACTGCTTAAAGGGGGTTATATAGGGGATAATATAGGGAGTATCATAGGGATATTAAGGGGGATACAAGGGTTTAGACAGCGGCTCATGTGGTCTTGGCAGTAACACATAGAGATCGTAACACAAGGGCCCAGAAGTTTTGCTTAACCCTCATTTGAAAGTGTCGCGAAATGATCCATACGTAATCCTAAACAGGACCTCTAAAACCCCTTTGAAACCGCTATCTATCACCAGGATTTTGAAGGGTAGCACTTGTCAAGAAACCCAAAAAAAAAGTAACCCTGAACCCTAAACGCTCAGGATCCGACCGAAGGAAACTCTGGTGGTGGCTTCACCCACAGCGTTTGCCGGGTCACTGCATGGTAGTAGTACACCTCCACCCCTAAAACCTAAACCCTAAACCCCTTGGGGTCATGTTTTGTGGCCGTAAGACTTCAACGCAGAATTATCACAGGTCAAGGGCTCTGGTCCTCTAGGCATCAGGCTTCTGGGTTCAGCGTGCAGAGTTCTTGCAGCAAGGGTTAAGGCTCAGGGCTGTGGAACTTTGGTTCAGGGTTGAAGGCTACTGCACAAGATTTAACGTTTTGGGCTCAGGGCTTAGATTGTTGAGTTAGGGGTTGCGGGCCAATGATGCCCAAAGTTCTTGGCAGTGTTGAATGAGATAGCGTCTTCTTCGTGGGAACTGCTACTTGCACCTTGCCGCGTACCTACTACCATTCCTACTCCCATTCCTACCGTAAACACTAAACCCTAAACCCTAAGCTCTAGATCCCAAACTGTGCTTATTCTGCTACGCCGACGAGGAAGACGACTGCTGTCAGAGCTCCTCGCTCGGCGGTTCCTACAAGGGTTTAGGGAGTTGGGGTTCTATAGGGTTATATAGGGATATTTAAAGGTTACGGAAGGATATTCAGGCTCATACAAGGTTTAGGGCTTTTAGTTGAGGGCTTAGAACTCCCTAACCCCTAAATGCCTGGCCCTCCTTCGTTCTCGCTTCCTTCCAGGGGCTGTCCTGCAGTTTTGCTTGTGCAAAGGCTTCAAAGAAAAGTAAAAGCAAGACCATACTGGCTCTTAGTAGGGAATATGGGAAGATGATATGAAGGGATTATATAGGGATTATATTCCCATATTCCCTACTAAGAACCAAAAAGAGAAACAACAATCGCCAAATTTCAGCAATCCTGATACCACTGAAACCGAGAATTTGGAGACGATAATCGAAACGACACTAACGGTTATATGAATCCTGAGCATCGCAAAAATATTTACAGGCGAACCATCGTCATGATCATAGCAATAACGACTAAGGGGATGCAAGCCATGCTCCTGGTCGTTGCTGCTGCGAACTTTGCCCAGGAGGCCCTCACCAAGGGCCTCACGTGAATGTACCCTAAACCCTAGACCCTATCCCTACTATTAGGATTATTATTGCTATTTAAATCCCCATAACCCCGTCTGGGGTTACATCAGAACGAAACAGAGGAATCCTTGTTGTCGGAAGCTTCCAAATCGGTATGTCACTTGGTGCTTTTCACAACTTGCGAAAATACATACCCGCATGTGTAGGAACATGCTCAAACCTAAAAACTCCAATTCCAAAGTCCTAAACCTAGGGTTTAGGGTTCAGAGTTTAGGCTTAAGACCCCCTAAGAATCAAAACGCCAAACCCCCTAGTATGGTACCATCATGTTGGGTGGATCTATGATTAGGGGAGTGGGGGTGGGGCTCATTATCAGGCGAGGGAAGCAACATCCTGACCTTGAGGATGGCAGGTGATTGACATTGAGCTGTAGTCTAAACTCCTAGCATCCCCCTTGATAAGCGCTATAACACTCCCCTCTTATAATCCCGTACATAACCACCTTTCAAGAAGCTCAGACTACAGCTCAAAAGGGTTCCCCTATCACCGCCCTCTATACTACCCCCCCCCCTCCCCCCCACAGTTCCGCCCTTCATTAAGATTATTTGAGGCTACTTATGGCTAATTAAGGCCTCATTGAGGGGGAACCTGGGGGTGGTAATAGGGGGTGTCGGAGGGGAACCTACGATAAACCAAAAATCCATTCTGCTCCGAAATTCTCAAGGAGAATGAAGAGGAAGCCCTCAGAACCCCACAGGAAGCCACCCAAACTTTTCTGCTAACAGACAAAGGTCAACGGAAAAATACATTCTGACCCTATGCCGGGACCTTCATGTCTCTGCTTAAAATGCCGCTCCCCTGATGACAGGTTCAACCACATACCCTGCAGCCTAATCTCTCAAGCCCCGAAAAGCGCAATTTGTATAAGGCCGAAATTTGAAAAAAAAAACTGCACAACAAAAATCCGGACATAAAACCTATACAATCTCCCTATACCCTATCAAAATCAAACTTCTGTCCAAAGGGCGGCATCAACGATGGTTTGTGTGCCAACCAGCGGCTTTCCGTCCAGACGGTCACGGGCAGCCTCCCAAAATGGGGAACATGGGGTCTTCTCAACACAAAAGCCTGTAGGGCTTGGGATTTGGAATGGATTCCGAAAAGACGCATTTGTTATGGGATGTAGCGTACGGGTATGGCAAGTTCAGGCTGCAGCAACCCTTCCCTGGCTGGTTGTTAAGGAAGTGAAGTTAAGTTACTTTAATAAGATTAAACAGGGTTTTGGGTTTAGGGTTACTATAATCAGGAAACCCTATGATTTACTTTACATTCCCATACTATGATAGCTTAATTTGAACTCCTTTACAGCAACAAAGCTTTCAGAACAGGACCTGTCAGGGAACCCTCCTTTTGGCGCGCACCTGCAAAACAGCACAATAGTTTTGCTGGGCTGCCGATCAGGATTTCAAGTTAAGTTGCTTCAGTATGGATAACAAATACACGACAGGGTCTCCTTGTAGTGGGAACTTAGCTCAAATTCTTCAAGTCCCTTTACCCCTTTCTAACGCCAGTTTCCATTCAATTGTCCATGCTCTTTTCCAGCTGATTCTCCATTAGGGCAACCCTATATAACCCAAAAATCCCCTGGCGCCCTGTATAACACCGCAACGATGATTTTTTGCAGGAAATCGAAGCCACGGACCGTCTTGAGTCTTGACGGCTTGCGCAAACACGCACTTGCCATGCTCAGGGCCGCGATGTTCACGACCCGAAACGGTCCGATCTACCTGGTACTCCTTGATTGAAGGTGAAGGATGAAGGGAATATGGGGGACTTGTAATCAAGATCACCAATATTCTTCTTAAAAAACGAGAAGCCGACTGAGAATAAAGTCTTACTCTCTACTGACCCCGAACAGCTTGCTACTCACTTCAGATTCTCCTCAACCCAAAATCATCCTAAACCCTGGTTTTGGCTTCTACAAATGCTCACCGAGTACCAGGTGTCAATGGATCATTCCTTGAACTGGCATCCGCTGCACCTGCAGGCAAGTGCTCACAGATGCGAAAGTAGGGTTCACGGTTTAGGGCTCGAGTAAGAGAACTGGTACTTGTACGGATAACCTTGATAAGAGGACATCAATGGCAATACCAGCACGAACAAAAAAAAGGATAGCAATAGCAGTATCATAGCATGTACCGGTCATAGCAATGGTTGCATCAAATCAGCCCAGGTAACTTGGAACATGCCAGGCCTGATGCAGGCACCAGCCGCTGTAATGCCGGCACGCACAGCGTCCTGTCAATCTGGGCTTGTGCCACACTTAAAACCCAGGCATATTACGAACCCTCAACACTAACCGTAAACCATAAACCCTATATTTATATACCCTACATAACCAAACATATCCCCTATATCCCCCTTTAAAGGTATCTCCAAATCCAAAACAGTACTCATAGGACACTACAGCATATCACCAGGTTCTAACTTGTGTTCTTCCGTATCTAGCTTATGACCCATGTATCAATGTATCATTCACAAAACTTCTTGACATACGGCAGGGGCCTCCGCAATACGGTTCAAGCTTCTACACTACAGAGCTTAACGGCGGACGACAAGTTGGAGCTTTGACAGCAGACTGAGCCCTGGACCCTAAACCCTAAAGAGCGGTTTCCACAATGCTTTTTCCAGGGCCCTATATACTTCTACATAACCCTCGTGGCCAACTAATTCTGTATGTTATTTTCCGTGTGGTTCTCCATTATAAGTTTCCATGTTCTTTCCAAGCCTCTATAAAATCCCTATATTAAACCATTTCAAGGGCCCCGATTTTTGTAGCTAGATGAACCATAGTCTAAACTTCTAGTGTCCCCCTTTTATAACCCTATAATACTCTCCAAGATATTCCCCTATATCACCCCCCTTTAAAAGAGTTTAGACCCTAAACCCTAAACCCTACATAGACCCCCTTTAAGGGGTTTACACTATAGCTCACGTAATCCCTTCTCAGCTCAGAGCCTTCATGTTGTCCACTGTCAGCCTCGAGGCCAGGGCAATATCCTGCACGAACGGATTGGGGGTTTAGGGTTTAGGGTTTAGGGTTCATGGGTTTAGGGTTTAGGGTTTAGGGTTAGGGGCAAGCAGCAAAACATTTTGGACTACCCCCTTTAGATCAAAACAAAGTTAGGCAAAACACCAGCAAGTGCTCCTTGCTGTTTGCCTTCAATACTACTACTGTTGACAGCACACTGTGACCATCGTGGGCCCTTATCCTGAGTGCATCAATGGAAATCAAGAAGAGTGCACAGATGACCGAATAGTATTCGCTGTAACAAAAAAGGAACAGCCATAACGTGAAACACACGCGTTTGACATACAAAAATGATGACGATGCGGGCCCCGACAGTCCTCAAGCTTACGCTTGCCCGCTGTCTCAGCCGAATCAACGGCTTCTTCTTGCGCTAAGGCCTGACTTCTGTTTGGCGATTAGGGTGTAGAGTTCAGGGTATGCGGTTTGTACAGCAGCAATGCGCTTCCAACACTTGCAAAATTTCTACGAAGTTTGTGGCACGCGTAGGCGCGGCAGGTATACGGTTTGGATTGTTGGGCTTTGGGTGTAGGATTCAGGGTGTAGGCTTTAGGGTTTCAGGCGCAAAGTGTGGGGTTTGGCTGTAGGGTTCAGGCGGCAGGGCTGAGTGTAGGGTTTCAGGTACTGTTTGGGTGCTCCGGTTACGCTTTTTGGAATACAACTGTTACCGCCATTTCTAATTCCCGTACTTGGCATTACTCTCGATGCTGCCAAGTTGCCTCTCTCTCTCACATTTCCCAGAGCAAGCAGCTACTAGTGGACAATCATTAGCAGAAATCAACCCTTGATATCGCCGGTAGGATCCCTAAGAGTTCAGTAGCTCTCCCCTCACCAGAACAGTTAATCCCTAGACCCTAAAAACCCTCAACCCGAATCCCCAAACCCTAAAGACCCTATTGAGGTGAGCGACGGCCAGGGGTTGCCAGATGGCTTCGAGAAAGCCACCCATAAAGGCGTCTCCGGCGCCTTATTTTTAAATTTGGGGTGCGGGGGCAAGAATCGGAATAAGGTTTAAGGATTATGGAAATCCCCCTAAGGACTATTCTTGTTATGAGCACCCACCCCAAACCCAAACCCACAATGATCTACGTCTACCTCTCAAGACAACTCAGGCCAAGGCCAACGTCATCCACGAACTCCTTCCAGGAGCATGTTAAATTGGAAAAAAAAAAAAAAACTTTCTGGTCAAGTGGGCGTAGGAATTACGGTAAGGAATGGAGGAATGGATCCCTGGAGTATCCCCTATGTACCCCCAACATAGTACCGTCCTTTTCATTTTCCATTCCTTCATTCCCTACTACGAACCGCATGACAAGAACATAGGCTTGCCTCGGGTGACACCTGTGGAACAGGGACTTGAAAAAGACCCGCGTCCTCAAACACACGTTCAAAACGCATTTAGGCTCAGCTTCTACCCAGACCCCCTAGAGGATCCAATAAAGGAGCCTTCAAATTTTCCCCTAGTGTCCCCAAGATAGTAATGGGGGCCGTTTTGTGGCGTTCGATTTTTTAAATCCCTAAGCCCTAAACCCTAAACCCTAAACCCAAGGGGTCAGCTGAACTACACTGAGCCTGGCACAGACTTCGAGCCGATGCAGCCCACACCTTTGGAGCTGCGAGTACCTATCATCCAGCCCTTGTGCTTCCATCTCGCGATGACCTGAGCATGGTACAAGTGAGGGATTCAAGGGTTTAGGGTTTAGAGGGTTTAGGATTAAGGCTTTAGGGCTTGAGTCAGGAAGCATACATCAAAACAGTTACAGGGGTATGTGTGGGACTTTTGGTAGGGTTGTCGGGATTCAGCTCCACCTCAACTCCCCACCTTGAGCACCAGTAAGGCCAAGGAGGATTCTGAGAGGAGGACCAGAGACCGACTTCAGCAACTCATGAATCTGGCTCTTACGTTCTAGTCCTTCATGACGACCACTTACATAGTTAAATAGTAATGGCAGTAGTATCGGTAATAACGCAACGAATTCTGCTGGTACTATTACATGTCTCCGTTCGAGAGCATCTCGGGGAGCGGCTGCCATAGCAGCTTCATAATCTTCAGGGGCTGCCTTTGACGTCGCCTAGGCAGCAGCGAACTAGACCATTTGGATTCGCTGCATGTACAACCTAAACCTAAACCCCAAACTGAGAGCGGGGCTTTGCAAATGGAGGAGGCCAGTCGAATGACCTCCACTTCATTGGCGAAGGTGAGGTCAGCAGCCCGGGCAGCTTCCTCTCAGCAGGCGCACGTGGAAAGAAACTGGGAACGCCACTCGGAAGCAAAGACACGTCGGCATCCCCGGTCAAAATCCTATGTGCTACAGTCCATCATTGAAGAGCGCCAGAAGGGGACCCCTAATTTTGAGTAACGTCTACATGGCCAGCTGCCTGCACGCATGGAAGCTCCGTACACCACTCAGCACCCACAGTGATGGCGAAAACGGGCCGAATGAGGCCATTGCCACCTTGCCGCAACTGCATGCTTCTTTCTCAGGGAACCCCACTGGAAAAGAGCTTTTGGATTGAGTGCCAAAAGTACACTCCGCATGCTAGGACTCGTTCACAAGTGGATCGTCTACAACTATTTACCACTTTTGAAATGGAGCATGCACTAGGAGTATTTCAACTGACAAGAACCTTACTCGTGTTTAAGAGGTGGTGGGGGGAAATCCCTATGATCAACCCTAAACTCCCTAAATCCCTAAACCTCAAACCCCTCAAACCAAGCCAGTCTCATGCCTGTATTCACTCCCACCCCACTCCGCTTTCGCACTAGAGACTTGGCCTAAATTACTGCTCGCCCAAAAAGATGGGCAATCTATACAGGGACCCGTATTAAAATAGGAACCCCACTATAGGAGCCCGTATTGTAATGATATTTAAGCAATCCGCATGCCTAAACCCCATATCAGGTCCCTAAACCCAAAGCCACACTTGCCGACTCCGAGCGAAACACCATCTGCTTTCGGCAGGTGGGGCGCGGAGCACCAAGACAACATTGCTGCTACTCCTCCCAAATTGTGGCCGATATGGGGTTGCATAGGGATGTATATTACACGCCAACAATGGACAACCACATGGAAAAAGGAAAATCACATAGAAACGGGAATTGTATAGCAGTGCACCCCAACTTGGGTGTTCGTAGAAAATAAAGAAGACGTTGGGGTTAAATTTGGGTTCCCTCATTTATGGAAACCACTAAATGTTGACTGCTGCGATGTGCGCATGCTATCTGGGTTGCTGTTAAGGAACTTAAGAAAAGTCACTATCACAAGGAAACCCTATCATTTACCATACACCCATACTATGCTAAGTTAAGTTTAAGTTCCTTTACAGCAAAACAGTTGAACTGTCAGTTGTTTGGGGTAGGCTCCTTCTGGATCTGCCTGGGCATAGAACCTGCCACAAAACAACTAGGGTTCAAGGTTTAGGATTTAAGGTTTAGGGTTTAGGGGTTGTGCCGTGTTTCGCAGTTAGGATTGAAGGTCACATGCAAACTGCACGAAGAAGTGCGCTCGTTCATGGATACAATCTAGCAAACTGGCCGGAAGACCCAGAGGTGACAGCAACCTGACCATCCACAAAGAAAAGTGTAGTTTCCATTTGCTTCTTCATGATTACCATGTAATCACGCGGATATGATTGCCAAAATACTGTTGCTGTTACTATCACTATTATTATTGTTATTATTATGATTATTATCATTACCTAGTACTACTAGTGCTATTGATATTACTATGGCTCTTTTTCTTATCATTATTGTGACTATTTCCGATTCTACCAAGAATCATGTTGCCACAAGAATCGGACTCGCTTCGTAAACTGAGGCATGTACCCATGCTTGCGGTGAAGAAGACTTGACAGACGCCTGTTGTGTTCTTATTGCTGTCACGGAAATACAGATGGTAAAGGAAGAAGACTAGTAGAAGCAGTAGTAATAGTAGGCGTAGAGTCAGGGTACTCATAGCGGCAGCAGCTGAAGCAGCATTAGCGGTAGTAGTTTTCAAGAGTATTCACAGCAGTCATGGAAACACCATGCAGTATCTTTCAAAGACCCACAACAGTTACCGCAGACATGCACCTCTACAAGGAACAAAGCCGGACATGCATACCATTACGAAATCACATCAATGCACTTCTCATCTCCCAGCTCAAAGTAATAATCCCACGCCCCAGAGCCAACCCGAACCCCAATTCCTGAAAATTCCGACACGGCCATACACCCCCCAAACCCTAAACCCTTACCCGGGAGACCTTGCACCACAAACCCCAAAGCCCAATGGAAAAAAAAAACAGAAAACAACAACCACGCCTGGCCTGCAAGGCTTCCATTCGAGCCGACCACCCTTGAAAGCCTTCCGTCCTCAGCTCGCTTAGGTTTAAGGTTTTGAGTTTGGGGTTCACCCCTATCTTAAGATACTGCTGGTAACTAGGAAATGGAGACGCTGCTGGCAACAACTGGGTTATCTGGCGCTTAAAGTTTATGGTTTCGGGTTTCAGGGTATCAGACGGAGGGATGCATCCTTATAATGGACCCAAGGTAATCCGTTGCAATAGCCCTTCAATATCCCATTCCTTCACTTCCGGAATCCGCAAGGGGTCGATAGTTACACACCAAACCCACGCCCAAACCTCAGATCACCATTGCAGTGGCCACAAGCGCCTCCCAGTCTAGCACCCCCTTATACCCTTAACCCTAAACCCTGAGGACTCTTTCAGTCTAAGAGTCTAGGAGCCATTTCTGCAAAAATTCGGTGGAAGTGGTTGCAGGACTTAAGGTTAGGGCATGAAGTTCCTAGGATTTATTTAGGGTTTAGGTTTAGGCTTTTGGGTTTAAGGTTTATGGAGCTAGGGGTTGGGGGCCTTATACCTTTGCGACCCAAACATCTTTGTCCAGCAGGATGACGCTGGTTTGCCTGTGAATTGAACAAGGGTGCCTTCTAAAGATATTGGGGCTATGTTGGGGTTATATTGGGGTTATATTGAGTAATATTGGGATAATGGAAAAGAAGATGGAAACTACTAGGCTAGTCTGCAGCCCCTCTGCACCTATGCAGTCATACTGACAAAAACTGCATGCTCCCGGTATATCCCCGCTATGCCTGTATCATCACCAGGTTGCCCGTGCCTCGTCAGTTCACAACCCAAGACATTCCCAATGCATCTCGTTCCTGGTATAAGTCAAAAGAGCCCCACCTCACGTCGGTGTGTTTTACCTGGATCTGTCTGAGTTGCAACTTCAATGCCCTGAGGTCCCAACTTGCCATCCAAATGCAATGTCTTGCTGATGCCCAGGTGGGTCACCATGGTACGTGCCTCAATGGCTCATACGAAGATTTTTGAGAAGAACATGCTTGTTTGAGGTCCAGGTGGGACGTCCTTATGAAAAGGACCATGCTTGCTGGAGGCAATTTACATGGACACATATATCACTCAATGTTCATGGCGAGTTCCTTGTTTGGACTGCATGTTTCATGAATTGCGTCTTCATCGAAACTACGCTCATACCCACCCACAGAGGCATGGTCCTTCTGCTAAGAATGCCGAACAGAGAAACGTATTTTCGCGAATCCCTCCGCTTGCACCTGGTTGGTAGGGAATAAGGGAATACAGTTCCTGTATCATCCCGACATAACAGATGAGCTCATTCCCGACCAACCCTAAACCCTCAGACCTAAACCCTATATAATATATTCCGTTATACCCTAAGAACCCCTAGTAAGTCAAAGCATGCAGCAACTGCGGCCCGACCTTGTTGGCCAGGAGACAGCAACATACGCCTTAGCTTGACTTGCAAGGTGCAAGAAACACTGCCGAGCATCTGTCTAAACTGGAAAAGCAAGTAAGGTAATACTAGCAACAATAATAATGATGGTGGAGTCTCCCTGTATACCCCTGGAACTTACAATCTAATCTGCATCACATTGACAACCCAAGATGGGATCCCTAGTTTTGAGAACTTACCACCGCTGAATAACACCAACGCCCAGCACAGCCCGACTGTGTAAGAGGAGCGCCGCTTGCGTTTGACAGATCTTCGCCGGCCTCTTTCCTGCCATCAGGGTGCTATACCTCAACATAATGTAGACCTGCGACTAATCAACCCCCTCCTTTTAAGGGTCTTAATACTAGGATCCCTATTATGATCTCCATTGAGGGGAGGGGGTTTATTAATCACGGTTCTACATTAAACCACGACCTCAAAATCTGGAACCGAAAACCGTCCGAGGCATTTTTGGGATCCATGAGCGCGGGACAGGGGTATCCATGCCAACCTGAGATACAGCATGATCCCACATAATCCCTACCAATCCAAAATTCAGTCTGAGACGGACTGATGCCTGAAAATAAAAGTAGGCTTTGAAAAATGAATGCTCCAGCACTCCCGATACCATTGATCATATCAGGAGGTCCGCAAAGCTAGAAATCTTAGGAGGCACTTCTCCGTCTCCGCCGCATAACCTCTGTCTGTGTGGATGATCCCCCTTGACACAAAGTCCTGCCCATGCGTAGTTGCGGATGGCCTTGTAGGGGACCGCATAACAGACTGCTGCATTAAATGGAGCGCCCTACACTGTGGGACCGTAGTAGTCGTAATAATAATACTAAGAATAATCGGAATCGTACTCAAAATACTAGCCATGATGATAGTAGTGATAATGAGAACACTGGTAACAACAATACTATTAAGAGGAGTAGCATGTTTATAGCTGACAATCACGCATCCAGACTTGAAGCCTCTACTCTTGAGAAGGCCTCGCCCTGATCCCCAACCCCTGAAAACTTAAAACTCTCTTCCGAATAAAACCTAAACCCTAAACCCTTAAAACATCCCCAACCCCAAACCCTAGACCCCTAAGTCCTAAACCCTGAACCCCATCCTTAACCCTAACCTCTAAGCCCAATCCTTACCCTAAACCCTAAACCCTTCAAACCCTAAACCCTAAATCCTCTGCCATCACCAAAGGATCCTTACTCTGCCTCGTTGGTTGAGCGAACATTGGCTCGACCCCGGCTGCTGAAAGCTCAGCCTGAAGCCTGCCATTTGGGGCGATTAGGATCCAGGGCGGAAGGTGTAGAATTGAAGGCTTCGGGTTCAGGATTGAGGGTTTAAGGTTTAGGATTTAGGGCTTAAGGTTCAGGATTCAGGGTGTAAGGTTTAGGATGTAGGGTTGAAGTTTCCGGCTTGGGGTTTAAGGTTTTTAGGGTCTGGGACTTACGCTTTGGATTTTAGGTTTAGGATTTGGAGCATTAGGTTTATAGCTTTGGGTCTAGGGTTTAGGCCTAATGGCTTAAAGCTACGATAAACGCTTGCTTAAGGTTTACTGGTATGGTTGGGGGGAGTAGTAATCAGGCCACTGGAGTTGCTAGCGGTTCTTCTGATAGCCTATAAGGATTCGTGTGAATCTACTAAATTCCCCCGACCCTTCAAGTACCCTACTTTTTGGCGAATTTGGAAATGCGAAAGGTACAGTGAACCC